AGGAAGCATGAATGTCCACAGGAGACCCCTGAGTTCGAAAGTGCCTGCCCACCTCCAGCTGTCATAAGCAGCCTGCCACCCTGACACGGGAACGGGAACGGGGAATGAGAACAATATAGAGGGGAATCTTGCTTTTCTGGATTTCCAGGCAGAGGTCAGAACTGCAGGGGAAGCCGGGCGGCATCTGCTGTTCTTGTCACCAGCCCGCACTGGGCCAGGAAGCTGGGCCTCCAGGGAACTTCCTTAGTGGAGGAGTCACTCTCTGCCTGGGGGACGTTGTTGTTTTACTTTTGAGGGGGGCAGTTTGGGCCACATCCAAGTGCTCAGAGGACACTCCTGGGTCTGCACTCAGCCATGGCCCTGGCAGCACTGGGGATAGAGCCCGAATCTGGGCTGAAGCGAGCCAGGCAGGAGCCATTCCTCTTCCCTCTCTCCGGCCTAGGGGCATATTTAGGGGCATCCCTTGCTCTACCTGCCCCCCTGCCATGGGAACCCACCCCCGCACTACCCAACACGGCACCACACGCGGCCAAGAGTTTCCCAAGGGAACTCGGAGCCCAGGGTGAGAATAGAGGCTGGCTTAGGGGTGCTGTGCCTAGGGGGTGGGGCGGGGGGGACTTACATGCCCTTCCTTCCTCTTTGCACAGCTGGCTGACACCTCTCATCTGTTTGCACTTCCAGAATGTTCCCAAGGTGCCAACCCTTCTTACTCGTGTACCTTTAAAAAGTTTCCTTAAAAAAAAAATTAATAATGGTCTTCCTGGCCACACTTAATAAATTCAGAAATGGGGTAGTTGTGCCCAGGGTAAGGACACACTTGCCCTTGATCCAGACTTGGGGAGAGGATGAAGGAAGGAGAGAGGGAGGAGGGAGAGAAAGAGGGGAGGGGGTGAGGGAGGAGGGCAGAAGAGAAGGGGGAGGATGAGGGGGAGGGAGAGGCTAGGGAGAGAGGAGGAGAGGGGAGAAGATGAGAGGGGAAGGTAAGTGAGAGGAGAAGGAGTGGGGAGGAAGGGAGAGGAGGAAGGCAAGAGGAGGAGGAGAGGAGGGGGATGGAAGAGAGGGGGAGGTAGAAAGGGAGGAAGGGAAGAGGAGGGAAGGTAAGGGAGGGAAGGGGAAGGAGAAGAGGAAGGAGGAGGGAAGGAAGAGGGAAAGGAGGAAGGGGGAGGAGGGGAGGGGTATGGGAGGAGAGGGAGGGAGGGGGAGAGCAGAGGGAGGGGAAGGGCAGGGGGAGGGGAGGAGGGGGAGAAGAGAGGGGAACTCTCTGGCTGCACTGCCCACCCGTACCTGCTGCCACTGCCCTGCTCTGTCCCATGCTGGTGTCGCTGCCCCCATCCCGTGGGCCCAGAACACTGCGAGGCTCAGCCTGTACCCTCGGGCTAGAATCCAACCTGTGCACCCCGCACCAAGCCCTGAGCGCAGCTTCCCTCTGCAGCCCCCAGTCAAGCTCCTTCTGGCTCCCCAGCGGATTAGATAAGAAAGTGTGTGCCAGAGCGATGGGGGCACACGGTCACTCAGATTGCGGTCAGCAAACACGAGACAGCAAAGACTGGCTTGCATTGTTCTTAACTCCTAGAGGCCACCCATGGATGATGGTTGTGGTGGTGACAGTGATGATGCTGATGGTGGTGATGCTAGTTCTGGTGGTGATGCTGATGGTGGTGATGGTGGTGCTGGTGGTGATGGTGCTGGTATTGATGCTGATGGTGATGATGATGCTGGTGGTGATGCTGATGGTAGTGATGATGGTGCTGGTGGTGATGGTGCTGGTAGTGATGCTGATGGTGATGATGGTGCTGATGGTGATGTTGATGGTGGTGATGATGGGGCATTAGTGATGTTGAGGGTGGCACTGGTAATCTATTAGATTTTATAATAAAAACAGCTCATATTTCCAAAGCACCTACTAGGTGCCAAACACTGTGCCAAGCATTTGATACTCATTACTTCACTTCTTGAGTCCCAGCAAGCCAGGGGGCAAGGTGCCTGCCCCTCTGACTCCAGGCCCAGCTCATATCCTTTCCTTAGTAGAAAATTCCTCACTGGCCCTGGCAGGATTAAGATTCCTGCCTCTGTGCCCACAGTGTTTACCCAACCTTTAATTACTTATCTAAATGGTTATCTCCTTCCAGTCTGTGAAGAACTTGAGGGCCAGGGCCTTATTTTATTAATCTTTGTTAGCTTGACCACTCAACAGTTTCTGGGGCATGGCTGCTGCTCATTAAATGCGTGTTGAATGAATGTACAAATGAATGGCGTAACTAGCAGCACCCTGTGCTCATTATAGACGTTGACCCATCTGTGAGGCCGTTCCTGACCTTAGACCTCAGAAGTGTTCTAGACGGGTGCTGCTCTGAGCATGATCCTTTGCAAACATCCATGTCAGATTATAAAAGGTAAGTGCTGAACGGAGAGAAATGCATTTTAAAATGTTTAAGCTATTTGAAAAAACAGTTTTATGCTCATTGAATCCAGTGGTTTTTATTTTTAAATGGAGCCCTATTTTGGATTTTTTTTTTTGCTGATAATTTATTCCCACTGCACTTTGCAATAATAGCAATCTCCAACAGATCAGAAATTTAAAAATTTTTAAAAAATGGCTCTTTGATCGTCTGAGAAGCTTCCAGACAATGTCCTCCGTGGCATACCCGTGGTGAGAGCCAACAGCTCCCCACAGAGAGCGAGGGGCCAAGTTCCGCCTCCCTTCTGGGTCCTGCAGGCACTGCTTACTCTCACCTCTGTCTCCCCAACACTTTGGAAGACGCTTGTTTTGGTCTGCCATTTCTCCCACACTCCTTACATTCCTCCTTTCTTCCAAAGCTGGCAGGAGTGAAGCCTTCACAGGCTGACTTCTCCAGGTTTAGGCCTGGAGATCTTTGGGGATGGCCCAGGGAGGGGTGGGACAGAGTCTGGAAAGGGTCGGGTGAGGGCTTTTCCTGGGGAGGGGACAAAGGCGGAGTAAGGGATCCACCCTGAGCCACCAGGCTGGCTAGCTGGTGACTGGCACAGGGGTGACATGACAGGCCTCAGGACTGCTGTCCTGGAGCTGAGCAGAGAACAGAGTCAAGAGGGTGGGAGGTGGGGCTGGAGCGATAGTACAGGGGGTAGCGCATTTGCCTTGCATGTGGCCGACCTGGGTTCAATCCCTGGCATCCCATATGGTCCCCCAAGCACCACCAGGAGTGGTTCATGAGTGCAGAGCCAGGAGCAACCCTGAGCATCTCCGGGTGTGACCCACAAAGCACTGTAGCACTGTAGCACTGTCCTCCCGTTGTTCATCGATTTGCTCGAGCAGGCCCACCCAGTAACGTCTCCATTGTGAGACTTGTTCTTACTATGTTTGGCATATCGAATACATCATGGGTAGCTTGCCAGGCTTTGCCGTGTGGGCGAGATACTTTCGGTAGCTTGCCAGGCTCTCTGAGAGGGGCGGAGAAATCGAACCTGGGCCGACTAGGTCGGCTGCATGCAAGGCAAATGCCCTACCAGCTGTACTATCGCTCCGACCCAAAAAGAAAAAAAAATAATAATAATAAAAGAGGGTGGGAGGAAGCTGTTTCAGGCCAGATCGAAGGGGATATGGCCTCTTTGCAGAAGGAACTTTAAAGCATAGATCTGTCCTCTAACCCCCTAAAACGGTCAAGGCTAAAACTATAAATAAGTGGGTCAGAGAATAATGCAATGCACCTGCCCCATCCTGCCCCCGCGGGGAGGGGATGTTGGGGATGGAAGTCTAGAAGTCAGTGAGTTCAACCCCGACAGCAGTGGAAGGGTGAAATATGGCATCTGTAGGTGCCTCTTTAGAAAGAGAAGGTCTGAATCCCAGGCCAAAAAGCCAGGAAGAGCAAGACTTGATTACAGCCCGATCGATGGCATTAGCATATCTAAAGATCATGTCAAGGGGAAGGCGCCACTGAGCAGTGTTTATTAAGCAGAGAGTCCAGTCTCTGGGAGATCTGCTCCAAGTTGGGGCAGGACTGGGGAGCGGGCTGCTACAGGGCCTGGGCCAACTCCCGGAGGCCCTGCAGCCTCCTCTCCTCAGATTCTGGGGCCTTTGCACAGAATTGCCTAGAAGGAAGAACCATGGCGTGGGTACTCTGCAGCACCCCCCCCACGCCCTCCCACCCCACCCTCCGCCTGAGGAGGAGGATGCTCCGAGTCTAGCTAACCTTCATTAAGCCCCAGCCAGGCTCCGCTCCAAGCCAGTTACAGACATGAACCAGTCCAGCTCCCTCAGTCCCCCTGTGAAGGAGGACTTCCTGCCCCCATTGCAGAGATCAGAACACAGAGGCTCTCCTCAAGAACGTCCCCAGGCCTGAGCTCCTCCACCACACCATGTGCACCTGGTTTGGCTTGGGACAATAAATCCTCAAGCTGGGGATTGCCCACATTGCTTCTGGGTGTGCTTGGGGCGAGTCAGCGCTGACTCAGCACAGCTGTTTGTGCGCGTGTGTGCGTGTGTGGTGGAGGGGGGTTCACATCTCAGATTGTGTGTCTCATCTAGAAAGTCCCACTCTGGGTGGCCAGTGCCACCCGCTGACCTGGGAAATGTCCCTCCACACTGCAGAGCCCCAGGAGGTGGGGAACGGGCAGGTTGAGAGTCAGGTATACCAGTGAGGGGACTATGAAGGAGCCGGCATGCACCTGTGTGCCTCAGTTTCCTCACCCCGGCAACTGCGGGTTGGGGCGCAGTGACCCTCTTCCTCAATGAAAATTGTAGGATGCTGGCTAAGGGAGGAGTACGTGGACCACCCCCCCATGCCCCCGCCCTGCAGGTCCGGGTGGGTTTCAGGTGCCACCAGATGAAGGCAGTTCCCTGTGTCCCCTTCCAGCCATGGTGAGAGGAAGCGGAGGGTTCAAGTCAAACATTCCCTCCCGCTGGGAAATTTGGGGGGGTACCCAAGGTGAAGGCTCCGGAGTTTGGGGCCCGACCCCGAAGACTCACTCGGCCGGGAGGGGGCGCTGTGTCCCCCGCCCCGCCGGCTCCTCGGGTCCCCGCGGCCGCCCGCTGCGCACCCCGCTTTGCCCCCTGCGGTGCTTAGACGCCCTGTCGGGTCCCCTGCGCCAGAGACCCCCAGGTCCAGGCCCTCGCCGGGACCCAGCTGGCCAGCCGCTCCAGCTCCCTGCAGGAATGATCGGCCGGTCGCGCGGCCAGAGGGAGGGAAACGAATGAATGGACGAGGAGGCTCTTCTCCCCGCAGAGCTTTGGCGTCTCTGCGCGCACCGGGCGTGTCCGTGCCAAAGGCGCAGGGGGTCGGGCCCGAAGCCGCGCTCGGCTGTGGCGGGGGCGGCGGCACCTGCCCGGGCGCAGTTGCCAGCTTCGCGCGGTCTCGGCGGCGGCGCGGCTGTGTGCGGGCGGCCCCGTCCCCCGGCCCGGACCGGTTCCCCTGAGCGGCCCCCGCCTCCGAGCCCCCCGAGACTCCTTGGCACTCCCCAGCCCCGGACCTCACGCGCGCGGGAGGCGGGAAGCTGCCTCCTTTCCCCGCCCCCACCCCCATCCCCAGCTTCTCCCCTGGCTGCGGCTGCTGCAGACCTGGGCGCCGGGAAAGGGGGTCAGCGCGGCCGGGGCGCGGGAGCCGGCCGGGGCGGCCGGGAGGGAGCCGAGCGGGGGGCGGCCGAGGGGCGGGCGCGGGGCGCGCGGGCAGAGGGGGTGGGGAGCCGGGCGCGGGAGCCACGGCGGGGGCGAGGCGGGATTCGGGCGGGGACCGGCGCTTGCGGGCCGGGCTGAGTCCGGAGGCGGCGGCCGGACTTGCCCGGGAGGCGGAAAGCGGGGCCGGAGAGCGCCCAGCCGGGCACCTGCGTGCCAAGCAGGTCCCCCCCGCGCGCCTCCCGCGCGCCCCCGGCCAGTCGGCCCCGCGGGGATGTCCGAGGGACCCAGGCGCCCAGCACCGTGACCGAGCGAGCCCGAGGATGGGACAGCGCCCGCAGCTCCGGCTCGTCAAGGTAAGGGCGAGCGGCCGGTGCGCGGCGCGGGCGCGAGGCGCGGGCCTGGCGGGGAAGGAGCGAGGGTCTCTGGGGAGCGCGGTGCCGTGGTCGGGGGCGCCCAACTTCCTCTCCCCGGCCCGTGGAGGGGCGGCGGGGTGGGGGCAGGGGAAAGCTCGGGTGGAAAGGGAAGCCGGGGGCGCCGGCGGGATGAGGCCCGCCCACCCGGGCCACCGGCTCTGCGGGGAGCCGCGCGGGGCTGTGTGGCGCGCAGCTGGTTCCACCTCCTGCCCCACCCCGCAGACCCCTGCCCGGGCTGGCACCCCTCCTTCTGGGTTGGGCCGCCCCGCACGCCCCTTCCCGGGAGCCGGCGTCCCCTCCCGCCGCGGAGAGCTGCGAGTGCGGGAGATCGGGGTCCCCCCGCGCCCCGGGGCCTGCGATGGCTATCTGGGGAAACGAGGCGGTGCGGTGCGGGGGCGCCGGGCAGGGTGTCTGGGACCCGCCGGCCCGCGGCATCGCGCATTGGCGGCTGCGGGCGCTGCTCTCCCGTGCCCTGGGCTGCGGGTGCCTCTCCGGCGCCCCGAGTTTAGCAAAGTAGCGCAGCCACACGTCCCGCGCCTCGACGGGCTGAAGTTTGGGGGTGGGGTGCGACATTGGGGCCGCGGGCAGCCAGGGTGCCCCCAGGAAGGGCTGGGGGTCGCCAGCCCGGCCCGAGCCGACGACAGGCGCCGCCTCCCCGCCAGTGGTCGGGCGTGCGCTGGTGGACGCGAGCGGCAGCCGCAGGGGAGGTGGCCGGGCTGGGCGCGCGGGAGGGTCGCGCCCCGCAGGCTCGGGGAACCCGCCCCGGGCCCCCAACGGGACCCATGGAGAGCCGCCGGCTCAGCGCATCTGAGAGCCGTTGCGTTCCCAGGAGTCAGATGCTTTGGGGGAGGGGTGGGCTTGATCAGACTCAATGTTCCATCAGTTACTATACCATTTTGACGAGTCCCAGTTCCAAAATATCTGAGTCCAACGCCAAGGTTTTCAAATACAACCGTTCAGAGAGGTTACCAGTTTCTCCCAGCCTCTCCTTCCCTGTCCCACATATTTATAAGATCGTTTGGGGTTTTTGTTTTCAATTAATGTCTGACGGTCAGGCTGTTTGAACCCCTCTCCTGCCCCCCACTGAGGACTGGGGGTGAACCCAGAGATTATTTTCTGGGTGATTAAGGAGGCGGGAGGGAGAGAAGGTTGGAGAAATGGCTAAGAGTGGAGGTTTTCCAGAAGGGAGATGTGTGTGTGTGTCACATCCAGTTTGAATTCAGAAATGAAACTGAGGTGAATCTTTTAAAGGGATTCAAAGGATTGAACTTTTTTTTTTTTTTAACGTTTGCGTGGTGATAGGTAAGTGTTCCTTCTCCAGTCTTTCTTACAATACGCAAATCTTAGCACAGTGTTACTGCACTTTCCTAAAAGAAAAAAAAAACACATTTTTTTTCCTGAGAGGGGTGTGTGTGTGTTTCTTCTCCTGCAGGGTCAGGTGAAGGCCCTTTATGTCTGGTCTAATGAGTTCCAGAGGTGCTCAAACAGTGCAAAAAGACTGAGAGGCAGAGGAATGAAGTTACCTTTTACTTGGATTTATTTACAAAGCATGTCGACTTGCTTGGCGCACAGAGGAGCCTTGAGTCTTTGTAACAGCCCTAAGATGTGGGAATCAGTACAGAGAGACAGGATAGAGGCCGTGAGTGGTAGAACCAGGACCCAAACGCAGCCACATTTGTTAGTTTGCAACCCAGAATACTGAGTCACTTAAGTCTCACTCCAGGCCTCTGCCTGCCTAAACCTGGGGTGTTTGTTACCATAAAATTATGAAGCTAAGAGCCAGAGCGGTAGGACAGTGTGAGGGCATTTGTCTTGCTCGGAGACTACCCAAGCTTGATCCCCCACATTTCATAGAGTTCCCTGAGCACCACCAGGAGTGATCCTGAGAGCCGAGTCGGGAGTAAGCCTGGAGCACTGTATATATCGTTTTGAGCCACACTGTTATATATAGTTTAGTCCCACGAGGCAGCTAGTGCTGGAAAGCACCGTGGCTGGATCTGCAGGGATTCCAGGGCCCTGAGGGAGGGATGGGAATTACTGTGTGTGTGCATGTGAGTGTGCATGAGAAAGTGTGTGCATGAGGCAGTTGTGTGCCTGTGCATGAGAAGGAGTGTGTGCATGACTCAGGGGTATGAGTGCGCGCATGTGCGTGCATGTATGTGGGAGTACGCATTCTTGGATTCGAAGGATGACAAGTGAAGTCCTGTCCTCCTGCCGTCCAGCACGTCTGTGTGACCTGCCTGGCAGCCATTGATCCTCTCAGGGAAAGGCAAGTGTGACTAGCCGGGGTGGTGAAGGCTGGGCTAGATGGTTTTTTTTTTTAAGGAGAGAGTTCTAAGGGAAGGAAATGGGGTGGTTGTTGTTGTTGTTGTTTTGCTGTTGTCAGGAGTAACCCCTGAGCATCCCTGGATGTGACCCAAAAGGCAAAAAAAAAAAAAAAGACAAAGAAAACCAGAAGAGGAAAGGTTTAGGAGCCCACTTTCCTCCACCCCCTCTTTACCGCTTTAAAAATAAACCCTCAAGCCCTTTTCCCTAATTGTCCCATCAGGAGCCCTCTGCCCCAGACAGGAGGTGTCGGCAGTCGCCTGAAGCCCGGGAGTGGGCGCCTTTCCCCAGACAGGGGCACTGCAGTTCTGTGCGGGCAGTTTCTTGGACAGACAGCTCGAAGCCAGGGTTTTGAGAGCATTGGCTGGAAAGAGGAAGTGAGGAAAGGAAAGGTGTGAGCCCCAGGTGAGGCCACACAGGCTGGGGTAGGGGGCCAACCCGGCCGGAGCAGGGGGCCAAACAGGAGAGGGGCCCAGGCTGAGGGCTCAGGACTCAGCGGGACTCACACCACGGAGAGATCTGGCCCAGGTGCTCGAGTTTTCGAGGACAGAAAAGATCAGGGCCCTGAGCCAGAGCTGCCAAGGACAGGCTCAGGCAGAAAGAAAGACCAATTTTCTAGTTTTCTCTCTCTCCCCCCCTTCTCCCTCTCTCTTTCTCCCTCTCCCTCTCTCCCTCTTCTCTCTCTCTCTCTCTCTCTCTCTTTCTCCCTCTCCCTCTCTCCCCCCCCCCCCCCTCTCTCTCTCTCTCTCTCTCTCATTCCAACACTTGGCTGCCCCAAGATCCGCCACCATCAGCAGAAAGTCCATTTTTCCATTCTCCCTGCCTCTCTGTCTCTCTTTCATTCCAACACTCGGCTGCCCCAAGGTCCGCCAACATCAGCAGGTTTCAACTGCCCAGAAGGAGCCTGGAGGGTCCAGGTTGCCCCCCTCCCAGGCGCCACCCCTAGTGCTACAGTGCTCACTAGAGCACCCTGTGGGCTTGAACAGGCAAGTATCCTCAGTGCCAGCGATACTTGTAATTCGTGCTGTGGCTTCAGGCATGTCACTTTCCCTTTCTGCACCACAAGTCTGCTGGGAAATTGGCCAAGATGACCTGTGACCTTTCAAAGCTCCCTGAGAGGTCTGGAAGCCCAGGAGGAGTGGGGCGGGGAGGGGGGGGGGGGTCCAGACTCTGCTGGAGAAGCAAGCCCAGGCTGCTTCTGTGGTTAGGGGGGATGCTAAAGGTGGGGGCCCTACCCAGGAGTGCCTGCAGGGGAGCAGGCTGGGCCCTTCCACGGTTCCTCCTCTGTAGAAAGGGGCCGAGATGGCCTTTCAGGAACAGAGAAAAGAGCGAATCCCTTCCGGAGCAAAGGTCAGGTGGAGGGCTGCTGCAGGTTGGGATCCAAGGCTGAAATTGGCTCATTACCCACAACTCCTGTCGGCAGAGGCCCTTGGAGGTCTCTCCTGCGCTAGTGCTTGTGTCGGCAATTGTCACTCTCCAGCCGCCACCACCACCATGAGCTCGCTCGCACCACCCCCACCCTGCACGGCAGGACTGGTGAGGGAAGTGGATGTGGGCTTGAACCCTGGCCTCGGCCGCCACTCTGAACCTCAGTTTCTTCAACCGTGAAAAGGAAGAAAACAGCACCCCGCTTCAGGGGCTCCCGGTCAAGGCTCCCGCGATGAGATTCGGGTGTGAGAGCAGCCGGAGGGCACCAGGCCTCATGCATATGAATAAGCGCTTCATAAATATTAGCTGTGTAGACACCAACATCTTCCCCAGGAAGGCCAGCAAAAGCAGGGTGGGAGGAGGGGGCTGCTAGGCCTTATGGAATCTCTTTGTCCCGGTCCCCAGCAGGAGGGGCAGGGTCACCTGCCTTCAGTGAACCTGAAAGGTCAAAGGTCGGAGCATCTGCAATTCTGAGAAACAAAAAGGGGGGGTGGTCGGTGGTGGTGGTGGTGGTGGAAGCAGAATGCTTTGTCTCTGCTGGTAATTCTATTAAATGACAGCTATTAACCATTTCTTCTGGGTTGGTGGGATCCGAGCAGCGGTGGGGTGGGCTGAATGGGACCTTCGTTCCTTTGCTGTGGGGTAGGCAGGTCAGTTTGGTGACTGATGGTCAGGGTGGTCAGTTGGGTTGGTGAGATGCCCAGGACAGCGCCTGGAGTTTCTCTTTGGGGACTGTCCCCTGCAGGGCAGGTGAGGGCATCTGTCTGTGGGCGTCCCTGTGAACTCTGGCCCTGTCCTGCGGGCCCCAGGGAGGTGCTTGGGGGTCTGGTGGGACGCTCAGCTGCCTGCTGCCCCCACAGCCCTCCCCAGCTCCTGTGAGTCTGGCCTGAGCCAGGATCCTAGGTCAGTGTCCAGGACAGAAACTGACCAGACTGGTCCAGTTGCTGCCCAGAGGGAGGGGCCTTGCTCTGGGCCCTCTGGGGCCCTTTGGATGTTCAGCACCAGTTCTAAGAGGGAGAGGGCCGGCGGGAGGCCGAGGTGGTGGGGGGGGGGGCGGGGCAGGGCGGGAGACACCCTCCCTGGAAACTGCCAACACTGGGGGCCAGGGCCTTCCAGGGTAAGGCCGGGGATGCCCAGCACCTGGCAGAAATGCAGGCTCGGCCTTTCCACTGGCTGCGGGGACCCCC